AAGGACGTAAGCTAAAGGACAGGGCTTCAGGAAGCTAAACTCAAAAATGAATGGTGATGTGAAGATGAAAAATAATGCAAAAGGTATACCTCCCTCTGTCGTCTCTGTCACACATATACATACATAAATACGCATATATACAAGTATGTACACATATACACACATACATCTACACACTGGTATGTATGCATTCCCATAGAATGAGAGATTTGTCATGATGAAGACAGACGTATAAAGCGATGTAAACATTTCAAACCAGATAAAAGACATAATAAAAAAGACAAGTTTCTCTTGCTTGGGATAAATCAAAACATTAAAAGCAAATAAAACCCAAACAGCCAGAAGTAATCAACTGCATTTTGTTATAGCCTTTTCTGCCTAACAAGGAAAACTCGAACTGAACAGAGAAGAAATTCAGAACAGTGGAACCTAAACAAGGAAGCTCGAGGTTGACCAAGAGAGAAGCTGCCTGTTTTCAAGCATGAACATCAGTGTCCTGGCAATTCCCGAGTCAGTGCACTGATAACTTTTGCCAGTTATGGGAAAGATTCCAAGAACAGGAAGTTGACGTTTAGAGAATAAAGTAAAAAGATTCTGAAAACTTCATCTTTCTGAGCTTAATAGAGATTCTGAGCACAGTTTTAGAAATTAGAATAAGGCTTTATTTTTATTTATTTTTTGAAGTAAATGCATTCATATTTCTTAAAAACGAATGCTAATATTTATGATGGGAACATTAGAGAAAGTTCTGTATTTTTGATGAGGTTTTTAGAGTAATAGATTAGACGGATAAGCATGTAATACATGTTGATTTTAGGAAGATATTTACATAATTATATATGACATTATGTTGGACAAAATATAAAAACGTGGGCTGTATGACATTTCTCATGGGCACTGACTGTCATAATTGTTATTGATTAGGATGAAGGCCTCTGGGAGTGTTTTGTAGGGTCATATCCTTTTATGGATACATGACATGGATAAAAAGGAAACAGTTGTGTGCCTTATTTAATGCTATTTCACTTTCAACTCTACAAGGAGCTACAATAATAAACATGTTCCTTTTTAAAATCCTATAAGCCAAAATTATTCCTATTTCACATATGTGGGAACTGAGTTTCAAAAAAGTTTTCAAAAAGTTTCCTCATATCGGAGTCTATTAATTGAAGAACCAGGTTTCAAACTCAAGTCTGCATGGCCTTCTGTTGCATCTCTTATGAGATCAAATGATCAAACATTGGATTACAGAATCGAGATCTAGAAAGTGTGGAATCCAGGGCCAAAAGCAATGGGATGAAATTCACTTGAACTTAATATTGTGTTAAGCAGAAAATTTCAATATTAATGTAATGGCTACATATGCCATGATCTTCAGAGGATATCATGTATTTGTAATAATAAATATTATAAAATTAGGTGAGCATCACTGCTCAATGGTACTATCACAGTAAAATTATGCATTGGCAATGAAAAGGAAGAGAATTTCACGGTTCTAATTCTTCAGTTTAGGGGGCATCTGGTATAATATTTTCAGTGTTAATCCTGAGTACCACATTCTGTGCCATATAATTATAATATTGACAAATTGGCAAATATTGACATGAAGTACACTTTATGAGCGTCTAGACGTGAAGTTAGCCCCCCCAACACATTGCATATTGTAATTGTACATGGTTATTTCACTTATACATTTTATTATACAGCACACTTTTTCTAGGGTAGCATTACAAAAGTTTCCAGAGAATACTGGTCTAGTAAGAAATGGAATGTTCAAGTCTCATAAATATAGCTACAGGAAAGAACAGATCTAAATATCACGTTGGTTTCCAAATTATATTTTTTGTACCTAGAAAATATCTATTTTATAAATCGCACAAGGATATAGTTTTCAAGGAGAATGCATTAAAAAAACTTCTTCCATTGACACTTTGTTGTATAGCCACACTTGCGAATGCTGCTGAAATGTGTATTTTCCCAAAATGTACGTTTTCCAAATTGATTTTATTTGATGTTTATTTCTATACATTTGTTTTATTTTACTGTTTGGGATTCATTGAGGGTATAAAGAATTAGGTTACACTGATTGCATTTGTTAGGTAAAGTTTCTCTTATAATTGTGTCCCATCCCCAGGAGGTGTGTCACACACCATGACCTCCCATCCCCCTCCCTCCCTCCTTCCCCCTGCTTCCTCATTCCCCCAACCCCCAACCTTGTAGTAGCTCATCTACTGCCTTTATAGTGGAATTCAGTACATTGGATTCTTGCTTCTCCATTCTTGTGATGCTTTACTAAGAAGAGTGTGTTCCAAATTTTATTGTGCTTTGATTGTCAGGTTCCTAATATAAGACATTTTTCTTTGATGTTCATAAATGGTGAAAAGTATCCTTTAAGGAGAATTTTAGGTGTAAGTCAACTTCTAGTTCAGCTAAAATTATACAAATCCGAGGCATTATGTAAGGTACACAACACATTCTATGTTTGAAACCTGTCAGCATCTTATTTTCATGCCCATTAAATAACTCAACTCAAAACTACACACACACACACACACATGCACACACTGAAAGAGAGAGAGATCATAAATGCTTAATGACAGATTAAGTATCATTAAATCTAATAACTGCATTTTTGGCTCTATGCCTCTAAGATAATATTCCTAGAAAATTAGTAGAGTTTTATTCTGAATTTTAAATATAGAAAATTCATCAGCAAACCACATGAAGTATATTTGGTCATATTTTCTTTTGAAAAGAGAGCAGTTATCTGTCTCTCTTGTCTACTAACGGAAAATCTGTCTTTGTCAAGGTGTGTGAAAGACCTCTGTAGTTCACACTTGTAATTCTCTAACTAATATCCAAATTCACTGCTACACCCAGCAAACTTTCTTGATGCATTTTAAAGAAGCTGATAGATATCAATAGCTGATCTTTGGAAACACACTCTCAGAAGAATAGGCAAAAAGTTTTAACAGATTTAATGGAGTCTGCTTAGGTCATGACTTTGGCAAACAGTTTTGAACCATTTATTGGGACTGAAGAATAAATATTATTTTTAATTTTTGAGATATATTTAGAATACTTTAATACTGCTCAATTGATAAAAGAGGATATGAAAAATAAGAAAAGAAAAAAAAACAGAGTATTTTTAGGTTTCTGGCAAGTATTTTCCAAATCAAAGTAACAGTAATAGTTTAAAAGTAGTGCTTATATTTTCTTATGATTTTAAGACTTAGATATGTCAAGATTTAATAATATTTAGTACTTTATAAAAGATTTAAGTTTTCCATATCCAACATTGTAATAACTGGATGAAAAGAAAATACAGAATTGCTACTATATAAATGAAAGAACAAAATTTTCCTATTTTTTTTTATCTGAGTTACCAATTTAATTTATTTGAATAGAATGAATAAAATAAAAAGATCCTCGTCTTGTTTGGGCCATTGCACACCACTGAGTCCTAAGGATAGAAGGAAAAAGCAGCAAGATTTCTTATTCTTTCTTACCATAAAAGTGTAGTCTGTATTCAAACACACACACTCACACACACACACATTCATTTACATAAACATGTATTTGAGTTTCTCCACAAGTATGTATGAAGTGCTCTCTGTTTTCTTCATAATAAACCCCTTAATTTTTGCCAGTTCATCAAAACTTAAAAGAATAAGACAAGTGTGGGGCATTCTGAAAAACCAGTGTCTTTAGGATACACTAAAGTGTCCTGAACTGCTTAAACTGACACATAGTATAGTGACAACTGTCCAGTCCCTGTTAATAAAATTTACTCAGGTGTTCTATGTGGGTTCATGTGCCACAAAAGCATTTAAGACATCAATTAGGATAATATGGAAGAATTATAACAGCTATTTCCAGAGAGCATAATGTATTATCTGGGACTCATGTAGCAAACAGAAAGGAGAAAACAGAAATTATGTGAGGAGAAATCTTCCTACAAGGAAAAGAGGGTTGTCTGGTTATTAAAAAATCAGATCTCTTCTGGCGTTGCTAAAAAATAGAACATTGATTTTAGAAAGGTCAACTATCCTAAGGTTATTTCTTTTCTCCTTTATAATACATTCATTTAAACTCCCCCAAAAGTATATGATAAATCACAATAATTTCAATCACATGAATTTTAATACAAAGCATATAAAACCAATTTCAAAAATTTTCAGCATATACGTAAAACGTCTGTAAGAATGAGATATTACAGGCTTTCTCTAATTTCTTCTGTTAAATTCAGGCATCCAATGTAACCTGAAAACATGGAGCTAAACTATTCGTCTTCTTTTTCTTCTTCTTCTTCTTTTTTTTGCAAAAGGGAAACTAGAAAAAGATTATTTCCCACAGAAAATTTATTAACAATAGGACTCAATTAAATGTTTTTTAACAATGAACAATGTCTCCTTTAATATAAATAATTGGCAGGGGTGTTTTTTTAAAGTCTTTCTTTTTTTTCTTCTTTTCCCTTGCTCCACCTACGCAAAACGTTCTGCTGTAAAAACACCACTTCTATAAGGAGGTATTCACTGTAGATGTACAGAAGTCAATGGAAACGTAAGTTTACAAGAAAAGTAAATGAGATATTCATTCTAACCACAACATATTCATACAGAGGCTTAATGAAACCTAGCTGATGACAAATGGATTATTAGTTGGCAACTGTTTTCAGTATATACAGTTGGCAACTATTTTTCAAGAATCATCATCCAATAAACTATTTTTTTCATGTTGAATCTTTCGTATCACCCCTTTGACAATTGTTGACATGTGAAACTCAGAACATTAAGACAGACAAATTAAAGTAACATTAACTATGGACCAATGTTCAACTTCAGAGGTTAAGACAAATACAAATATGTATTAGAGTAAAATATGTTGACAATGTGCAAATCAAAACTGCCAAGATGATTCACGTTTATTTTTAACACACCCTCTCCATTGGTTTCCCTCCAAAAGACAAAGGTAGCAAAAGAAGAAACAGGAAGTCCTGCTTCAGTAATTGAACATATTGATTGAACTGGCTAGGAAGTCCAGATGCTAATACTCCTAATAATCAGCCATTCCTTCTGTGTTTTGGTAACGTATATCCTCATACAGTGGACAGCAAATGGAATTTTTTGATTCACATCTGAAATTTCAAAGTTTCCGTATTTGAATTCCCCTAACCGTAAGTAAGTAGTACATTGTCTCCTGTGTTTGAAATGCCTAACATTTTCCCCGACATCTAAGGCTCCGTGACGCAAGATATCGCTTTGCCGATCTTCTGTTCCAGTGTTCACTTTAATTTTTTTAATTATAATCGGATTTTCAAATACAATCACAAAGACGTCTCCCGTTGAAGGCGGTTTCCCCCAAAAGTACTCATCAACACTACTGTAAGCCTTGCTGGCGTCATAGTTTTCAAACACATTCATGTTGGTGTATAGGCTCGCAGGGGGGTTATCAGGGATGTCAAATGGTTCCTCTTCAAAGTCGTCATCTTTCAGCTTATTCTCAGTCCCTTTATAGGATGAATAATAGCCCATGTGCTGAAAGAGAGATGGTTTAAAGCGAATCACGTTTTTCTGAGCCAAGAGACCTCGGAAATGGGTCAACAGCCAATCACAAGGCATTTCTTGATAAAACATTAATAAAAAATGTGCCAAACGTGGGAGATCATGAGAATGATAGAGTTTACCAATGTAGCCGAGCTTAGAGAACTCAAGAGTTACCCAGTAAGTTCCTTCTAAGGATGCGATGACTTTCTTGATGGCAGTTAAGAAGTTTTTTGAACACCGGACATCATCTTCAAGCATTACATAATAGTCTGAAGTATTGGCACAAAAATTAAGCAGAAAAGCATAATCTACATTTTGCTTGGAACGAAATTTGACTCTGTCTTCTGGGTCATTGTAATTTCTTTTAAGGCCATCCAAGATTGGATAATATTCCTCTGGAGCATGTATAACCATTAATCTTCCGGCAATAATATGGTGGGCAAATTTCTGCGTAATATCTTGGACCATGGCATCACGCCAGGATGAATTAAAGTCTGCTAGATGAACCACCACTGAAATTTCCTTCAACTCTTCATAGCTGGATTGCTCAAAAATAGACTTGATTGTTTCAAGTAAATAGCTTCCTTTTTTTCGTTTTACCGATGAAAGGCCAATTGTAAGATACCCTGAGCAAAAGAATTCAGAAGGAAGACAAATTAAACGTGAAATAGAAACAGAAACAGAAAAAGAGAGACATAGTCTTTTTTAAGGTCCGCTACTCTAGTGAATGATTATGCATAGAACGTTTTATAATTATAGGACTAAGCTGAATATATAAAGACTACGATACTTTATACATCATTTATATTTTTGTAAAAAACAAATTACATCTCAAAGACAATAATGTCTGAGCCCTCTGGCTGTGAACAATTGTTTTTTAAATACAAAAAGATGGTTTAAAGTGCTCTGAAACAATGCTCTCAAATACATCTATTAGAAAAGATAGATGTGTTTTTTTTATTTATTTTTAATCTGCAAAAGCGGAAAGGATTTGTCAGTTAAGGCTGATGAACCAGTCTCAAATAGTGAACAGAAGAATTCAGTCATCTTTGACTTTTATAAAATATGTGATGTAAATTTTTGGTTTTCTTTGATTACTATCATTGTTTTGTACTAAAGGAATTCACCATTTTATTTTGAAATTTGCCCAGTATATTAATTAGAAAGTGAACAATGAACATCACTATGTTCTTCATTTTGAAACACATATTATAATAATTTTGCCTAAAGAATTTTTCATTCTGGTGGTGCCTGTGGCTCAGGGAGTAGGGTGCTGGCCCCATATGCCGAGGGTGGTGGGTTCAATCCTGGCCCCAGCCAAACTGCAAAAAAAAAAAGAATTTTTCAACCAAACTGCCAAAAAAAAAAAAAAAAGAGAGAGAGAGAGAGAGAATTTTTCATTCAGACTTTTAAAGGCTAAGATTAGAAATTGGATATTTTTAGAGAGTAAAATAAAACTCCAAGCAAAGACAGTTCACCTCTGAGAATTTAGATGTCTTTTATTGAAATATTTTCATTTTTTAGGTTCTCATTCTCATATGACTCACAACTGAATAAAATTTCTGAACTACTATTTAGAAAATGGGGAAACTTTTATATACACTAAGATCATTGTTTTAATATAGACACCTACATGATGCGGGTTATATGATACTAAGAAATCTTCATTTCAACTAGTAAGGAATATTTTTCTTGAATGGGGCTTTTTCAGTATCATATAAACCACATTATATAGAAAAACCATATTACATATCAGAATGGTTGAGATATATATGTTTTAGAAAATATTTGAGCTTTCACTCTGCACTTTATTGTAACACAAATTTGTTATCTACTACCACCAAAGTATAAGGTACCAAACTTCATAAGTACTCAAAAATCGTCAACACTTATAAAACATTTTCTGCATAAGAGGCAGGAGTTTATGCATTTTGCCTGTAATATACATTGAATTTGTTCATAACAGTCTTTGGGAAAGATTTGCTATCATCATCCCTTTGTTTTAAGGATGAGAAAACAAAGTCACAGTGAGATGAGAACTTGTGCAAAGTGTCCCACTTAGGAGGCAGCGTGGTGAGAGATTCCACTGGCTCAACTCTCAGCCGCTGTTGCTTCTTTAGCATGAAGCAGCTGGTGTGTGTGCCAATAGAAATTAGTAAATCTAGCACGGAAAAGAGGGATCAGTAATGTTTAAACAAAGGTGGAGTAACAGATGGAGATGAAAAAATATGGCAGTGATCTTATGCAGTTAGAAAGAACCTTAAGAACACTGGACAATCGAGGAATGAAAGAAAACAAGATCTAAAAACCCTAAATTAACTTAACAATTCTCTCCAACTGGTGGGCAGAAATCCACTCCAATGAACACTTCTTAAAAGCAAAGTCATTGCATAGTCCCCATATAATTTATTAAGTTCATGGTATTTCATTGATTCTAAGATTTGTATTCGTTCCACTGATCCATTTAAAACTCAGGTTGCATATTACAATTGTTAGCATCCTATGAACAAAACTGACAATTCTTATATTTTCTTAGTGACATACTGATTAAATAATAGTACATTTTTATAAGGTATGGTGTCTCAGAGTCCATGAAATATAGTATGTTATTTCTTAGCATTCTTTCTCTCTCTATATATATATATATTTAAAACTCAGTGTAGAGTGTGAAAGAGAATCCATGTTTACTTGTAATATCAGAATTTTATTAGTTAAAACTTACAATTTTATTAGTAAATAGGTTGTTTGTATATGTAGTTGGCTAAGGAACATGAGATAACTCTGGATTTAGGGAGGGTCCCAAATCTCGTGACTAGCAGGGATCCTTATCAGAAGAGGAAAAAACACAGAAAGACAAAAGGAAGCTGCTGCTGATGAGGGCAGCAGGGACTGGAGTTACAAGGAGAAAGGCCAGGAACTCCAGGAGCAGCCAGAGACTCGAGGAAGCAAGGATTCCTGGAAGGGGGAAGGTGGCCCTTCCAGCACCTTGATTTCAACTCTTGGCCTCCAGAACCATGAGAGAATAAATTGTTGTTTATTTAAAGCCTCCTACTTTGTAGTACTTTGTCAGACCAATGAAATAATGCACCGACTTTTAATAATCCAAAACCTATGGCAAGTCATAAAACCCAAACCCTGAGAGGTTGGATTACCAATTTCATAGCATAACATAGTGACTACAATTAATAGTGAGGGTATATTTAACGTAGATAAAATAGCAGAATTGGAATGCTCTTAGCAGAGAGAAATGATAAATGTATCATGTGTCAGATATCGTAATTACCCTGATTTGATTGCATGTACCCTACAAAGACATACTACTATCGCATACTCACAGATAAAAGATAGAAAAAAAAATTTAACTTCCAGATTTTAAATAATTTGATTTTTCCTAGCTTCTTTATACCTAGAGCAAACTGCTAAAAGGTTTGCATTACAATTAGGCATAACTTTTTATTTTTTGTTACTAAGGGAAGTGGGTCAGTGAGTACAGTAATTGCATATTGTGAAGAAACACTGAAGTCCTTCCTACTATTATATTAGTAAGCCTTCAAACTTTTATTGCTATGCAAATTAAACAAATGTTCATTATTTCAAAGCAAAACATTTTATGTATTCTTTATTTAAAAGTGTAAGGATACTCACGCTTTCTTTGTAAAGGCGTGGAGGCTAGGTAGCGATAGGTGACATTTATGGCTCCTGAGAAATTAGATAAATCCTTGAAAGTGTGAACATACCGTTCTGAGTTCAGTTGATGTGTGGATGTTTCCCTTATAAGTTGTTTGTCTCCCTCCTAAATGCCAAGAAAGAGGCAAACATAAAACATAGATGGTCCTGGGTTAAATATAGTTTATCTTTACACAGTGAATATATAAGTATGATATATAATCTGGTGGGTTATATAAATCTCAATCATGCGCACTAACACTACAAGCTGTGGGTCATCACTGCTCATCTGATCTCCTACCTGGAGTTTGAGCTTCAAGCTTTCTCTCCTCTGTTCCACTCTGTAAACTCGAGCTGCATTTACTTTTCTACAGCATGAACTAATAATGGCATTCTTTTCCCTATGATTAATTCTCTTTTATTGCTGAGTAAAGTCTTAGTGTTTGAGCGTTCTGTATTTTATTCATTCACTCAGTTGATGGCGGAACTATTTAGCTTTGAATAAATCTGCTGTGAGCATTCACATACAGACATCTTGTGTAAACATATGTTTTCTTTTTTCGTGCGCCCATGCCTAGGATAGAATTTCTGGATCTTAGGATAACTTATATGTTGAACATTTTGAGAAACTTCTAAAGTGTTTTTCATAGTGGCTGGACCTCTTATGAAACTAATTTATAGTTTTCATATGAAAGCTATAACCTAATTATAGCCTAAGAATATGGGGAGGGAGGAGGGGGAGGGAAGGGGAAGGTGATTGGAGGGATCACCTCTATGGTTTATCTTACAAGGGTACAAACAAGGGAATCTTTCTAAAAGTAGAATATAAATATCTTAACACAATAACTAAGAAAATGACATGAAGGCTATGTTAACCAGTTTGATGAAAGTATTTCAAATTGTATATGAAAACACCACACTGTACCCCATGATTGCATTAATGTACACAGCTATGATTTAATAAAAAATAAATAAATAAACAAAGTGGCTGGACCATTTTATAGTCTTACCAGCCATGGATGAGGTTTCTAATTTCTCCATATCCTTGACAATACTGGCTATGACTTGTGGTTTTGGTAATAGTTATCTTGGGGGTGGGTGTGAAGTGTTATCTCTTGTAGTTTTGAGTTGCATTGGTACAGTGGCTAATTTCTGGTATGTTTTGAATGATTTTTCATGTGTGTATTGATCATTTTTATATCTTCTTGGAGAAACGTCTTTTCAGATTGCTTGCTCAGTTTTTCATGATTTATTCTTGAGTATTGAGGTCATTCTGCAGGGTGGATGTAAGTCCCTTATCAGATATGTGATTCATAAGCGTTTACCCATCCTGTCAGTTATCTTCTTGATAACATCTTTAGAATCACCAAATTTTTAATTTTGATGAAATTAAATTTAACTATTTATCTTTTGTTCCTTGTGCTTTTGGTGCCCTATGATCACTAATATTTACTCCTATACTTTATTATTCTTTATTCTCAGAGTTTTTTTTTTTTTTTGCAGTTTTTGGCCGGGGCTGGGTTTGAACCCACCACCTCCAGCATATGGGGCCAGCACTCTATTCCTTTGAGCCACAGGTACTGCTATTCTTAGAGTTTTATCATTTTAGTTATTGTATTTAGTTTCTATGACCCACTTGAGTTATTTTTTCTGAGTGTTAGGTAGAGAGCTCTATTTCATTCTCCTGTCTTTAGCTAATCAGTTGTCCTGGGATTATTTATTGAAAAGACTCCTGTCCTCATTGAATTATTTTGGCATGCTTGATGGAAATAAAGTAGCTGTAAATGTAAAGCTTTATTTCTGGGCTCTCAAATCTATTTCATTGGTCTGTAAGTCGACCTTTACTCCAGCGATGCACTGGCATTCTCTTTTTTAAAAAAACACAAAAATTCCCACTGCCTTTACATTAAGATTATTTTTTTAATAAATCAGAGATCTTAAAATTTTACGGAAATCTATTTATTTTCATTTGGGGCTCAAAGTCCCTCTATTTAGTCATAGTAAACTATAAGCAGTCTCCAGATTACAAACAAGATAGGTTCTGTAGATGTGAGGTGTCCTGAGATTGAATTTGTCTGAGGTCTGATGATTAAGTTCGGAACTCATCCTGGAAAAAGTGCTACATACCTCATTGCTGAATATCACTATGGTCGCCTTTGAGGTTCTCCCCCCTAGGAAGCTATGCAATGACGCCAGCCCCTAGTCCACCCATTAGAGCAATTTTGGAACTCATTTTCTGGAGTGACCATCAGACCTGTCCTCGTATGAGGCCTAACCACTAAGTTTGTGAATTCATCCTAGGAAAAGTCCTACATACTTGCTTGCTGAATATCACTATTGCTAGAAGGTCAAGGGGAATACTCCAAAGGTGACCATAGTCATATCCAGCACAGAGATAAGTAGCACTTTTTCTAGCATGTGTTTGAGAGTTTAATTGTCTGACCTCATATGTAAGTTGAAACAGGTACATGTACCTATTACCTGTAATAGCCTCTGTTCATAATTGCAAGTTGCATGAAAGTTGGATGTTTGGAACTTGGAGACTCCCTGTAGTTACTCTTTTTCAAGCAGCACCAAATATAAGACCATACATTATCACTATGATTGTGAAACTTTAAGAATGATTAGGAATTGGGCGGCACCTGTAGCTCAAGGAGTAGGGTGCCAGCCCCATATGCTGGAGGTGGAGGTGGTGGATTCAAACCCAGCCCCAGCCAAAAACTGCAAAAAAAAAAAAAAAAGAATGAAAGAATGATTAGGAAGATGCAGCAGTTGGACTTTGAATAATAAGGTATTAAGAAGTTTAAGTGTGTTGCATACATGGCCACGATCTAGCTATTGAGAATGGCTAGCCAGGGTCTTTGTGACATGACAGTAATATTTATCAAATGTCCTAAAGTAACCTCAAATGAGACACATTCCTACCCCTGAAGAGAATATGCACTGACTTTGCATTAGTCTTTCTCATGATAACGTGTTTCCTTGTATGTGTGGCATTACACTGGAGGTAAAATTCCGATCCATTTTTATCTGGGATGCTTTTTACCTATTTAATGGTGAACTCTTCATCTCATTAAAACATTCAAAATCTGGTTAAAATATGTCCTGTTTAGCCATCATTAATTGCCTTTCTTTTATATGTTAGATGATATTAGTAAATTAATAAATTTTGATTATCTAGTCACCATGATCAACTTTCTATTGGCTATAGCTTATTAGCAAAATGGCCATTTAGCTTGTGTGCGTGATTTACTACCATTGACAGAATATGTTTAGGAGCAACATAACTAAAAATAAGGGTTTCTTTCTGGAAAAGGTATACAATCTATCCTTGTGTTTTGTGGGTCTGCTTCTGCTATTCAGTATCAGATGTCAGGCCAATCACACCCAAGTTATTAAGACTATAGAGAAAATAAATTTCTGAAGTAAAATTGGTCCTGATAATATGTTGCTATAGTCATTACAACATTGATTAAACTTCTGTTCTAAGAGATTAGGTAAGATTCACTTAAGTTTTATGTCAATTGAAACATTTAATGCTTTTTGTCAAATTCAAATGCCAATGGAAAATATGACTAATTCAAAATATTATATTAAATTTATTGGCCAGACTGGAATATATTTTTTTTTTTTTGCAGTTTTTGGCCAGGTCTGGATTTGAACCCGCCACTTCTGGCATATGGGGCTGGTGCCCTACTCCATTGAGCCACAGGCGCCACTCTAGACTGGAATATTCTTAAAATAAAAAATATAGTAGACCATGGCTGGAAATTTACAAGAGCTTTACTAAATAAAGATTCATTTTGAATATCTTTTCTGTGTATCTAATTATATCTATGAACCTAAATACCCTAAATACCTATGTTTATTTATTCTTTAGCAATGCATTTCAAAATTTTATATTACTGGGCTGGGGTGGTGGCTCATGCCAGTAATCCTAGCAATCTGGGACACCAAGGCAGCTGGATCACCTTAGCTCACAGGTTGGAGGCTAGCTTGAGCAAGAGCAAGACTCAGTCTCTAAAAATAGCCAGGCTATTTTTAAAGTTTATGGGTTTTACAGATGGCAAGTATATTATGTTTGTCAAAATTATCAAGGCATTATTATTATTATTATTGTTATTTTGAGACAGAGTTTCACTTTGTAGAGTGCTGTAGCATCATAGCTCACAGTAACCCCAAACTCAGGCTGAAGGGATTGTCTTCAATTGCTTGAAGCCTCAGTCTTCCTTGTAACCGAGACTACAGGAGCCTGCCACAGTGCTCGGCTATTTTTAGAGAAGGGGTAGTGCTCTTGCTGAGGCTGGTCTTGAACCTGTGAGCGCAGGCAATCCACCCACTTTGGCCTTCCAGAGTGCTAGGATTACAGGCATGTGCCACTACACTTGGCTCTAAATACTTGAAATTAAACATTCGATATTAACTTTTTAAGAAATATCCTAATTGAATATTCCATGAGTTATCATTTTAAATTCTTTTTCTTCACTTTTAATTTTTTACCCATAAATATTTTCATCAGTCTCTCTGCAAGTCTATAAAACATCCTTAAAGTTTGAAATAAACAAATGCAGGATTCCCAAAAAGGTAACTGGAGACTTATTTTAGTATCAGCTGCTTGTATAGTAACATAATGAGGTACATTCTTTATAAGTTTGGAAGAAATTTCTATAAAAATCACAGCACCAAATTCATTTTACCATTCTGTTCTTATGTAACATTAATGAGGGCAGTGCAGGATATTGAATATTTCTTTAAAAATTCTATCCTGAACACCTACAATCTAAACCTTTTCTGTGATAAGATGGAATTCATTCGTCCTGATTTAAGGACATAACAGAATATAAAAGGAAATGAAACTTATATGAAGTAACTTTATTAAATCCTCAAGAACAAGCTTCTTTACACTTCTCAGCCTAAATAAATAATGTAACTTTCACCTGAGTCAGCCTTATTGGCTGCTTTCCAGAGGCATCTGTTTCAACAGCCCGGCTCTCCCTGGATACTTCCTTTCTGTAGCTACTATGCTGGAGTATATTTCTCAGTAGTAAGACAAAGCGTTATAACATTTTCTGGATGGGAACGCAATTCAACGGACTAGCTACAGACTAAATGTATACCCTAGTGGCTACTTTGAAGGTGCTCACAGCCAAGAGGCTAAGCTGATTGGGCATGCAGCGTCTCTTCTACTTAGCTTACCTTGTAATGTTATTTGTCTTTTACACTGAACTTGGCTTCATTTTCTCACTGAAGGGCATATATGTCTCTAATGTATAGGCAGACTCACTAAACTGTTAATATGTCTAGGACTGCAGGGTGCAAATGATTTCTCTAGCAAGAAGAGCAGAATAGAAGGTGTTAAGAAACTCCGGAGACCTTACTACTCTAACTACTCATCTGATTCCTCTGAATTATGAGTATTATCATTCACTAAAATAAGGAAGAGAGAAAAAGAAAGATATACTAATATCTGTGCTTAGAAAATCGCATGCATTTTGACATTTTGGATGCTAGAAAGGAAATAAAGACAGATAAGCTCATAAGAAATGAAATAGGTACAAGTAAAAGGATCAAAACGGAGAAGCATTAAAAAGAAACCGTATTATATTCTAATAGGAAGCTGGGTTTTATGGATATTGAACATTATAGAAGAATAATTTTAGTATTAATGATTAAAAAATGGTTCAAATTTTTATAATATCAAAAATTCAGCGGCAAATCCAATTTAGTTAGAAAATATCAGCTAGTAAGTAGTGAAAATATATTTAATAAAAATTCTGCCATTGAATTTACTTTAAGGGAAGTGTGCTGGCATTTAATAATCATTTGAATACATTTTCCCTAGTTAATATATATTTGAAAATAATATGTTAAAATGAAGAATCTCAGTACCTGGAATAATTAGTAAATTTGCATAGCTATGTGCCGAATACAGTCAGAGAAATATAGTTGGGAAAGTACTCTTAGTAGGAAAGCTACTTCATTAATTCACATTCTGTACATTTAGTAGCTAAGATCAATACAGATCTATGCAAAAATTCATAAAACAGGGCAGTAGTGTTGATTTTTTTCTTTTTATATATACTCTACTACTTCTTACACATTTATAGTGAATCAAAGAGGTTCTATTTCAAAGACATAAAGACTTCTGTTGCAGACAGTGGTTTTGTTGGGTCTTTTGAAAGTGAAAAGTTAAAATTATACTTGAAAGTGTCTAATAAATGCAAATCATTGAGTAAAACACATATCCAACCAATATCATGTGTTTGTTTTATACAATTTGTTTACTTCTATTAGTAAACATAGAATCACGAAATAAATCTTTATTATAAAGTTGAATCATTAATTGAGAGAATCTAGAGTTAATTCATCATATTTAATTCCATCAACAAACCCCAGCTAGAACATATGGGCCTTATTCTATTTTCCTTACATCTCATAAACACAATAAGTTAAAAACAATTACAAAATTCCTTAAATAAAATATTGGAATTTAAATCAAAACGAGTGTATGGTGATAATGTATGGCTATATAAAACATAGAAATATTCAGGTTAATAGCCTTGGACTGAAGTTAGGTTATAGTTGGGCTATTCTAGTTTGACATAAGCCTTATTTTAAAGAAAAACTATCAACCTCTAAGACTTACCAGAACATAACTATCTTCAATGTATAAATTCATAAACAGGAGAAAAATAACAAGAATTCCCAAGAACGACACTGTAGAACGTTTTCGCAGGCATCTCATTTTATCCAATATTTCAAAAATATGTTTCATTTGATGAAATTTAAACATTCTTTCCTGCGAAAAGAGGCAAATTAATTTCTAACATTTGACTTGGGATGCAAATATTTCTTTATGATAGACAACAAAAATCAGGGCATTGTAGAAGCTCACCCTTCCAATACTGAAACCGAATTTTTGTTTTCAATTTAATCCATAAGGTAGGCAGATTAATACATCAATACATGAACATGAGGCCAGTGCAGTGGTTTATACTGATGTGGAATGAAAAGCAAACCTCATGGTTACTGATGAAGAAATGAACTTCGGTAATAATAACGTAAGAAGAAAAAGGGTTTTGACTAAGAAAAGACAAAATGCAAGAGAAAAACAAACATGTCAACCGTCATTAGTGGAATGTAACATTAAGATAACATCCTGTTTCATATTATAGTGTAATTAAAATAGAAGAAAGCAGAAGTATCGGCCAAATAGTGAACTCAGTAGATGGCACTGAAAACAGTTATGGGAACATGGGTGGATTAGAGATATCACAAAAGTAGATAAGATTTGGTGGGGGGCGGTAAGTCCAAACATGTATTTGGGGACTTTTGAGTACAAGTGCTTTGGTTATTTTTCTAATGATTCTTTTTAAATCAATGTGGATCCTGTAGTAGTATAGAAAAAGAAAGGAGCTGATTTCAGGCAGGGAGAAGGGACTCTGAAATTAGGCCATCTTCTTGCTGTGCCCCGAAGCAAAGAAGCTGTCAAGATTCGTAGAGACACAGCTACAGGACACAAAAAATTTGGGAAAATTGATGATCAAAAAATGGCTAGGATTGATACTAAAATACTGAATAAATGGAAATTAACAATAAAATGATGAAGAAAAAAAAAGAGACCTCCACTGGAAGTTATAACTGTGCCTCTTCTGACTTTAAAATTTGCTAATTGGAAGTATTAAAGTATTCACCCGGCATTTCTAGGAGGAACTGTATTTCATCCACAGTTCATGTTGAGTATTTTCAGATACTGAACAACAGACATCACAGGGGACTATACCCAAGAGAAAGGAATCCAAAAAGGTAGGCCTCATGGTTTCTCCAGCTTGCTGCCAGGAGGCAGTTTCAAAAATGCAGGGCAGAGAGCAAATCAAAACAGAACTGAGGTATCTTGCTAATTTGAAGAGTCAGATAAGAGTCTGGGGAGACTGAGATACTGGAATTTGAAGGGAAAAATATTTAAAAGGAGGAATTACACAGAAGAGAGATTTGGAATTCTGCAGAGGGCTTCTTCTAATTTTTGACTTCATATTTTTATGTCATGTAGCTGGAGAAAGAATCTTGAAAAACTAGTAGGTTGGACAGTTCCTGAAATTTACACAGGCTGGTGATAGCTGCCTGTCTCTAGTCAAATTTGTGTGTCTATCAATCACCTGGATTGACCTGGATATTAAGAATATTCATAAGCATATCACCTTAATTTAGGGGCCAGATTAGCTCCTCTGGATCTGTTCTAAAAGCATCAATAGGATCAAATCTTCCCCTATAACTTAGCTCCATGCCATTATAAAGGGCAGTATTCTTTAAAGACATAGGATAATATCTAGTACTTAAAAACATTAAATTCACAATATCTATCACCCAGTAAAAATTACAAGGTATATAAAGGACAATTTGGTTTGTAAATTTGATGAACCAGTCAATGGAAAAAAAATGACCAAGAAGATAGAATTAAAAAGATAGGATATTAAAACTATCATAAATATGTTCCATACGCTCATGGAATAGCAAAACAAAAAATTTAAACATGGAAATAAAAAAAAATATGAAAAAGATAGAAGTGGAATTCCTATAATAAGTGGAAAACTATAATATCTGAAATGCAAATATCCTTGCTGATAGATCAGAAATAATAGGAGAAAAGATGAGCTATTAAAGATATATCACTAGAAATAATATACAACTAAGCATAAAGAGAGGAACAACCATCCAGCCAAACTTTCCTTAATTTCTGACCCACATAAAATGTGAGGTAATAAATGTTTTAAGCCATTAAGTTTCAGAGTGGCTTGTTATGCAACAATAGATAACTGAGATAGCTTTCTAAGGGAAACTCACTTTAATTATAAAGACAAAAATAAAATAAAACATGAAGATAAATCATTAAAATAGTAATGAAAAGAAAACTGGAGTGGATATATTAGCACTATCTAAAATAAACACTTAATAATTGATGAAGGTATCAATTTGTCAAAGGAATCCTAACTATCCTAAATGTGCAGGCATCAAAATAGAGTTTCAAAATGCATGAAGGAAAACTGATGTCAAGTGAAAGAAGAAAGAGATAAAACCAGTATTATACTTATATTTCAGTATTCATCTCTTCTTAATTGAATGAACAGGTAGAAAGAACATCAGTAAATATAGTAAATTAGCAGCACTATAAAATAGGCTAATGTATTTGAGATTTGTGGAACCCTCCACCCAACAATAGCAGAATGCATGTTCTTTTCAAATGCACACAGTATATTCACCAAGACAGACCATATTTTGGACCATAAGATAAGTCTTAATAAATTAAAAAAATGAAATTATAGAAAGTATGCACACTGATAACAATGTAAGTGCACTGGAATTTAATAGCAGGTGGTTTTTAGAATTCCAAAATATTTTGAAAGTAAATAACCTGTGGATCAAAAAAGAAATCGAAAAAAGACATTCAGAAAAAATGTTTGAACTGTATAATATCGAAACACAAGATACCAAGATTTGTTTGATCTGGGTAGGCATGATTAGAAACTAACATGAAATGCTTACAGTAGAAAAAAAGAAATATCTAAAATCAGCTATCTAATTGAGATATCTCTTACCTCAGTTACAATGGCCATTATCAAAAGAAATAATAACAAATGATGGCAAGGATGATGAAAAAGGGAGAAGTCTTATACACTGTTGGTGGAAATTTAAATTAGTATAGCAATTATGGAAAACAGTATGGACATTCCTGAAAAACTTTGAGAAAGAACTACAAATAATCAAACAATGTCATTACTGGACATTTTCCCAAAGGAAATAAAATCACTATGTTGGAAGATACTAGCACTACCGTGTCTACTGCGTCACTACTCATATTAGCCAAGATATGGAATCAACGTAAGTGCCCATCAACACTTAAGCAGCAGTTCTCAAATGAAGTTGAACTAAAAAAGCAGACAATAGAAGAGTGGTTACCAGAGGCTGGGGAGGGAAGGGCATAAAGCAGAGAGGTTGGTTAATGGATGAAAGTTACAGTTAGGCAGGAGGAATCAGTTCTTAGTTTATTACACAATAGAACGACCATAGTAGTATATAGTTCAAGGTATGCAGAAGAGAAGATTTTGAATGCTATCATCACAAATAATTGATAAATATTAAATGTGATGAATTTGCTAATTACTTTGATTTGATGATTAAACAATGTATACATACATTAAAACATCACCTTGTGCCCTGAAAACATATGCAATTATTTGGTGCCGATTATAAATAAAATTTAACGATAAACGAAATTAGAATACAAGGAACAAACTAATCCCAAAGAAAGCTCAAAAAGAACACATTAGTCAAAACATAAGCAGAACCAAAATGATAAAGGTAAAAATGGATATCAAAGAATAGGTAAAAGAAAAATAAAACCACATTCTGGTCCTCTGAAAAAATCAATAAAATCTATATTCCTTCAGCTAGACTGATCAAGAAAAAAAAGAGAAGACTTTAATAATACCAGAATTACGATATGTTCCATCACTCAAGATTCCAAAGAAATTAAACAGAAAATGACACATTTTGAAGAAATATATACCAATGAATTTCACAACTTTGGTAACATGTAGATATTTCTTGAAATGAACAAATTACCAAAGTTCACTAAAGAAATTAACAGAATAACTTATCATTAAGTTTATTTTATCTATTTTCTCAATTTTGAGAGTATATGTCTCCAAAATATATGGTACTTCATCTATTGTTCCCCCACCATCATGCCTAAACCTGGGGTATATCCATCTTAAGTTTTAATCCCAGATTTCAAGTACATTTCTACCAGGTTCATATTTCTCATTTTTACTCTTGTGTTTGCATCATCAAGACACAATACTCAGAGGAGCCTGGATGACTCACAATTTTGTTGATGTTAGAACAATTTGTCATGTTAGTTTAGCTGCATATATGATCCTCTTCAATAGCTTATCAAATTTCTCACCCACCACACAATATCTCACACCACTAAACAATCTCTAGTCACATTGTCCTGCCTTTAGTAAGAATACTTTTAGGTCAGTTTAGCAAAGAATTACCCTACCCTCTTAATGATTTTTAATGCAGTGATTGGCGTCCTTTTCCTTGAGTATACATTCCAACTTGTATTGAGTCCTATCTCTCTTTCCTACTGTAAAACTCTATTGCAGTAGACCCTTAAAGTCCCTTGAATAAAATATTTACCTTACTATCTTTAATTAGTGTCATAAATAATTTTTTTCTTCAACTATTTTTGGTGTTGTAACTTGGGAAAGATCAGATTCATCACTGGCCCCCCAAACTTCTCACCCATGATCTCAAGTGTATACCTTTGAAGCCTCTGTCTTTACTTCTAGTTGATTGATAGGGAATCCATTGGTAGTTTTGACTCCTGCGCCAGCATTCCAGATGACAGTCTGTTGAGCAAAGTAAGGGCAGATTATCAATCTTAAGATTCTGAGTGTATTATACAAGCTGAGTTATAGCCCTAGGTTTGTCTGCAAGTAAGAGATTAGGTTACAGTCTTAGGCTTCTTTATTTGGAAGACACTTGCTGGGCTGGAAGTCTTACCTCCTGACTCTGAGTTGAAATTTACTTCCTGAATTCCTGGGCTGTAAAATGTCCCCTGGCTCTTGGTAAGGCCTCTATGTTCTTTGTAGCTGATCCTGTTTCTCCCACAGTAAGTTCTCAGTCAAGTGAAACTCCCTTCTCAGACCCCTACTAAGCCTATGCTCCACCAACTCTGCCCACTTTTTTTCTTTTCATGAATTTGCTTAGAATAGTTTGGAAATTTGATGGCCT